CATCCTTTCCCTGTGGAAAGAAGTGTCCCAGAGAGCTGTGAGGGCCAAAGTGGGATCCTGGCTACCCAGGCTGGAAGTCCAGAAGCTTCCTGCCTTTACAAATATTCACCAGACACAGGAGGATCCCAGAAACCTGCCAGGAGCACAGAGGAGGACAAAAAGGTACCTGCACAGAGACACTGCACTCACCAGAAAGTTTCCAGTAAAATGCAAAGTTCCTGGGCACGTCCAAGGGCAAAAACTGGGATAAGAACCTGCAACAGAGATGGGATTTAGTGTCTGGGAAACCCACAGAGCATCAAATTCACTGCAGGGGTGTTATTTCTGAACAAGTCCCTCAGTTCCCTCTCACTTTCTGATACTCTTTTCACTTTCCAGGAATGTGTTGTGCAGTTTGGAATGAATGAAAGGCACTGCCACCCGACCAGCACCTCTCTGGGTGGGATGGATATGTCTGCTTTATTAAACTACTTGTATCTTGGGAAGAAAGTAGTGCCTGAAAATAAGCAAGGCTGTGGGATCAGTTTTATTCCATCAGCTGTTATCATCCCAACCCATACAAATGACTGAAATACCCACCCTGCTGATTCTAAAAGGGTTTTTTTTTTTTCCTGGTAATTATATTTTTGCTTTTGTACAAAACAAGAAGTTTCAACCTCTGCAAAGGAGCTTTCCAGTTTTCCATTTCCACTGCTACTTCACAACACAAACACTCACACACACACACACATAAACCTAAATAAATAAAACTAAAAGTAAATAAATAAAACTAAAAGTAAATAAATAAATAAAACTGAAGAAGTACAAATAAAACTGAAGAAATACAAATAAAACTGAAGAAATACAAATAAAACTGAAGAAATACCTAAGAAAAGCCCATATAAAGAAATGATGGGTCACAGTTACCACTATCCCAGTTACCAGCCTGGGTGAGACCCCACTGTGCACACACTGAGGGGAGGTTTCTGTTCTCTCCTGGGTAACAGGAAACCAAATGGTTGAGAGCAACAGTTCTGGCATTATTTGTGGAGGTGGCCACTGTACCTTCCCTCCTCTTTCCACAGTCTCATGGACTTTCTTCAGGAAGTCTCTCTCCCTGCAGCGTTTGGAATCTCGGATGGTCGTGGCGTAGGTGGATTCGCTGATCAGCAGATCCGGGCGACACTTATCGATCCAGGCAGCCCTGGATGAAGGGGATGGAAGGAAAATCCAATTAGGAGCTGGCATTAATGACCTGCAGGTCTCAATATCACTGCCTCCCCATGTGCAGACAGGAAACAGGAGCATGGCTGTGCCTTGGCCTGCCCGAAGTCACTGGGAATTCTGGGGCAGCATCAGGACCCCTCTCTGCAGGCACAGCTCCTTTAAATTAACCCAGCTCAAAACAGACACTACAGACCTTGAAAAGCAATGCTGATCCAGTCTATTACCTGTTTTAAATGCATTAAAATGTGAAGGATGAGTACTACAAATCTCTCACATATGCTCGGAAAAATAAAATGAGTGTTAAAGTTTGTGACTCGTACTCTCTTAAGAATTAAAAGCATTGAGAAGGCACCATGAAATAACAGTTCAAACACTGAAGTCCAATTATTACACAGCCTTAAAAGTAGATTAATATGAGTTAAGATTCATAGAACAGATTAATATGAAAAGAAGATTACATTAAGGTCTATCTGTCAGAATCAATGTAAACCCGTTCACCCTCACAATTTAAAACTGCATTTATCTTTCTATCATTAAATGTTCCAGTCTCCTAAGAAAGAATCAAAGTTGATAAGCCCCTACTATTAATAATCTGTGCTGAAATCTTCCTGTCAGAAATATTTGCAAGTCATAGAAATATTTACAAGTCATACTCACCCCAAGTGTCTGTCTGGTGTCATGTTATAATCACCCTGATGGAAGAAGAGAAACCCATTAATATTCTCAAGGTGATGTAGGGACCTAGAAATATTGCTGTGCATATATATATATATATCAGTATCTTTGTATAATGTCTATGTAAGAGGCAAATGTGTATAAATCTGTGCATACTCACAGTGTACACAACTGACTCACATCCAACCTTGATCTGGAACATGGCAGCTCCAAGGACATGGCCTGCATAGTATGCCTTGATCTCCAGCTCCTCATCCACCTGCCCCACCAGGCAAACACTCCATTAGTGCCAGCATTTCCAAATAAAACTGCCTGTTGCCTTCTGCAACAACCCCTGGTGTGATCAAAAAGTACCCAGAAATGACCCTTTACCTGCACTGTCTGGTGAAGGTGCACAGCCACCACCTTTTTCATGCAGTCTTTAATCATCTGGGAAGTGAAGAAGTTGGTTTCCCCTTTCTTGTCCACAGTTATTTTCCTGTAGTCCTCCAGGAGGATGGGGCAGATGGCCTTGGTGGGGTGTGTCATGTAGATGGGCCCATCATAACCCACCATCTCACTGAAATAGGGCAGTGCTCCACAATGGTCCAAGTGGAAGTGGCTGCAAAAAAAAAAACCCACAAAGAATAAAGGAGGTGCTGCATGGAATTCAGCCTGGCTGGTGCTCTCACATCTTGCTTCTGATTTTTAAAGCTCTGCACGGCACAGAGGAACCAGTCAAAATATGAGTGAGGGACCTGGAATGTGTTTGGGTTGCAAGGGGCAGCCTAACAAAGCATTCCCATTTCCCACTGGGGCTGTGACAGGGAAGGAGCTGCCTCACCTGATGATCACACAGTCCAGGAAGTCAGTCAGCCTCCCATTCTGGGTGATGTAGGAAAAGTCAGGGAAGCGCCTCTGCGGACATGGAAAAACAGGGAATCCATCAGGACACAAAGCCAGGCAATGCTGCATCATTGATCCAACAAAACAACAGAGGGAGGGACCTGGAACACTGGGAATGTGCAGAAAGAGTCAGAGGGGAAAGGAGGGGAGAGCTGCCAGGGGACAGATAGGGAATTGGCCTTGGGTAAAGAAGAATCTTCCCCCAGAGGGTGGTTGGCATTGCCCAGGCTCCTCAGGGCAGTGGGCACAGCCCCAAGGCTGCCAGAGCTCCAGGAGTGTTTGTACAACACTCTGAGGGACAAGGTGGGATTGTTGGGGTGTCTGTGCAGGGCCAGGAGCTGGACTGATGGTCCTTGTGGGTCCCTACCAGCTCAGGATATTCCATGATTCCACACACACCTACACACAGCCCTGTGTCACACGAGATGAGCCAGGCAACGTTCAAGGAAAAATTACCAGAGTGGAACAATCCTGCTGGGAAGGGCCAGGACATGTCCCCTCACCCCATTCCTGCTCCCCACTGCACTCACATCGTCGTTGTAGCCCATGTGCATCCCACAGTCCAGCATCACGTTCTTCCCAGCGATGGACACGAGGATACAGCTCCGTCCCACATCCTGCCCAGCCCCTGGACACAAGGAAAAGGCAAGTAAAACATCTCTGGGAAGTTTACAATCCTTTCAAAAGGGAAGCACTTAAAGGTCTGCACAAACTTCCTGCAAGCTGCAATTACAGTTTCAAGTAAAACCAAAATAATCCTTTATCTGGAAAGGATTAACATGAACCTCAGCTCCCTCTGGTGCTCTGCCCTCAGTGGAAGCTTCATTAAGCTTTAATTAAGTCCACATCAAGCCCAAAAATTATTCATCAGGATAAGGCAGTTCCCCTGCCCAGCACATCCCAGCACAGAAACAGTGTCTGTGCAACCCATAAAAATAGATTAAAAAATGAAAGAAAAGAGAAAGATTTGCTTCCTGTGGCTCTTTACCACAGTAAGTGAACTAATGCTCTACAATCCTGTACAACCCTACAGTGCCTTTACCAGAATACGTTAATTAATCCTCTAATCAAGTGAGTTATGACTGTTCAGAGTCTTATTTGCTCGAAAGGCACACGGAGGGCAGTGGGAAGACAAGAACTGGACTGACAAGAAGCTGCCAAGAACCACAATTGTCCCACATGTTACAGGTGCCACCGAGGCCAGTTTTCAGTGCCAACCCGACACATCTCACCCCTCAATTCTAAATTCCACAGCGTTTGTGTTTCAGGATGGTTTTGGACTGGACTTACCCAAGGGGGTGACTTTGATCTCAGGCATTTTAGCTCCCAAACCGCAGAGGGAATCACTCCAGACGCTGCTCAGGGAGGGGCACGGGAAGAGAAGATCTCGTTGGTTTTACAGGAGCCATTTCAACTGTTTTGCACAAGAGGGGGAAAGTATCTGGCACAAGACTCGGGCAGAGGCCAAACTCTTTTCTGGAGAAGGGGAAAAGAGACAGGAAAGGAGTCAGATGATAAACAAGTTATGGAAACTCGGCCCTGCCCGGGTTCGATAACCATCCCCATGGCCGGGAGTCGGGAAAAACACACAGAGAGACACACCAAACACACACAAACACACCAAACACACACAAACACACACCACACACACAGAAACACACAAAACACACACAGAAACACACAAACGCAAATAGAAACACATAAACACACGAAAACCACACAAAACCAAACCCACACACAGAAACACACCAAACACACACAGAAACACACAAACACACGAAAACCACACAAAACCACACAAAACCAAACCCACACACAAAAAACACACAGAGCCATGCAAACACACAAAACCAAGCACAAGCACACGCAGAAACACACAAAACCAAACCCGCACGCATATAAGTACACGGAATCGTACAAAAGCACACAAAACTCACAAAAAACCACAAAGAACCCCGCAGAAACCACCCAAACCCACCCAAACCCCGCGGCCGCGGCACTCTCGGCGCTCTGCCCTGACGCCACCTCACTGCGCCTGCGCCGCCACCGCCCCGGCAGCTCGCGTCCCTGTGCCGCACCCAGCGCGGATTGGCCGCGCCGCGGTCACGCACCAGACGCTGATTGGTCCACTGTCCGAGCCGCAGTGACGCATCGTAACCCGATTGGCTCGCTGGCAGAGCGCGGAGTCGGACCGCGCGCGGATTGGCCGCGCCGGGGGGGCGGAAGGAGGAGGAGGCGGCGCGGGGCGATGGCGGCCGCGGGCGCGTTCAGCCTGAGGGAGGTTCTGGACGCCTTCCGGGGATGCGTGACCGAGCGGCGGGAGGTGCTGCTGGAGCCCTACCTGAGCGGCTGGTGGGGGCTCATCCGGTGAGTGCCCCCCGCGCACAGCGACTTTGGACGGGAGCGGGGAGTGACAGCGCACGGGGCGTCAGTGGTGGGTCAGCTGCTCCTTGAGGCGGGTGGGAACGTAAAAGAATTACAGTGTTAGGGCAGGAAGGGGGATGCGAGTCCAGGGCAAGCCACAGAGACGCTCCAAGGGCTGGAACCAGCCTGGGAGAGCTGGGGGGGTTCACCTGGAGGAGAGAAGGCTCCAGGGAGACCTGAGAGCCCCTTCCAGTGCCTAAAGGGGCTCCAGGAGAGCTGGAGAGGGACTGAGGACAAGGGATGGAGGGACAGGAAACAGCGAATGGCTTCCCACTGCCAGAGGGCAGGGATAGATGGGATATTGGGAAGGAATTCTTCCTTCCTGGCACAGGTTGCCCAGAGAAGCTGTGGCTGCCCCTGGGTCCCTGGAAGTGTCCAAGGCCAGGCTGGATGGGCCTTGGAGCCACCTGGGATAGTGGAAGGTGTCCCTTCCATCCCAAACCATTCCGTAATTCCACGGTCCCCCAGGTTCCTTCAGAGCCTCGGCGCCGTCTTCGGCTTCATCTCCAAGGACGCCGTTGCCAAGGTGCAGATCATGGAGCGGCACCGCCGGGGGGAGCAGGGGCAGCACTACGAGTCCCTGCAGTCCATGGTGGAATTCGAGCTCTCCCGGGGGCCGGGGGAGCTGCGGGGCCGCCCCGACTCCGGGTGCCGGACGGTGCTGCGGCTGCACCGCGCCCTGCTCTGGCTGCAGCTCTTCCTGGAGGGGCTGCGCACGGGACACAGGGATTCCCGGACCTCCACCATCTGCACGGACTCCTACAACGCCTCGCTGGCCAAACACCACCCCTGGGTGGTCCGCAAGGCCGCCACGCTGGCCTTCTGTGCCCTGCCCTCCCGGGACGCCTTCCTGGAGGTCATGAACGTGGGCCCCCCCGAGCAGGCCGTGGACATGCTGGGGGAGGCCATTCCCTACATCCAGAGTGTCTATGGCATCACCCAGGAGCTCTTTGCCCAGCACAGCCTGCTGGACCTGCCCTGACAGGAGGGGGCACATCCCAGCAGGACTGGGGTGAAAAATCAAGTGTTTCTCTGGCTCTCTGCCCGTGGGCACCTCCACTTTCCCCTTCCCACTTAGCCAAGCTATTCTGGGTGCCTCACCTTACAAAACATATACCAGGGGTTTTTATATCTATTTATGTGATACATATAAAACACATATCATACATGTATTTTATATCTATGTCAGTGTCTGTGAGGGGGCTCCCCACAGGCTTAAGGATTTCCTTTCCCTTCCCAGCAGGGATCTGACCACTTAGCCAAGCTATTCAGGGTGCCTCACCTTGGAACAGAGAAATATGAGCCAGGGTTTTTTATATCTATGTACGTTATATATAGATACATGTATGAAATGTATTTTATATCTTAGTGTGGAGCTCTGCAGTAAGGAGAAAAAACCCCACAGCAGCAGGAGCTTTAAGGATTTCCTTTCCCTCTCCAGCAGGGAGCTGACCACTTAACCAAGCTATTCAGGGTGCCTCACCTTAGAACAGAAAAAGAAGTACCAGGTTTTTTACATCTATTTATGTTATACATATAAAACACATATCATGCATGTATTTTATGTCAGTGTGTGTGTGGAGCTTGACACTAAGGAAAAAAACCCCTGCAGCAGTATGAGCTTAAGGATTTCCTTTCCCTTCCCAGCAGGGAGCTGGCCAAGCTATTCAGGGAGACAGAAAAAAGATGTTCCAGGGTTTTTTTCTATCTGTGTGTGTTGTACAGACATACATGTATGATCTGTATTTTATATCTGTGTCAGTGTGTGTGTGTAGACCTCGAGATTAAGAAGAGAACTCACAGCACTATGAGCTGCTTAAGGGATTTCTTTTTTTGTTCCTGGAGTCACCTCCAGCTCTCCAGCAAGGCTGGGAGGGGAGGTGGTTTCTTTTTTAAGCCAAACTCTGCAATTCAGCAGCTTCTGTGCATTTACACCACTAGTTGTGGCCTTGTGTGACACGAGGTGGGGTCTGAACACATTTACACTCCACTTGATCTCCCCTGGCCACTTCTGTTTATCAGCTTCATTGCATCTGGGGGGTTTTGGGGGGTTTTTAACCTTGAGAATGTAACTCTGAGTGAAGGATGTGTGGTCACTCCCCCACCTGAGCACTGCTGCTAATCCTGTGTCCCCCAGAGCTGAAGGAGCTGGGGGTGGATGTCCCAGATCCCCTCAGCAGCACCTCCTGTGCCCTTCCCCTTCCCATTAAATCCATGCTCTTTGCACTTGGGATGTGGACCAATTCCTAAGCTGTGTCCAGCCCAGGCTGCAGGCTGCACCTGAGCTGGGTTCCAGCTGTGCTTCTACGTTGTGTGCTCATGTGGTGGTGGTTGTTTGGGGTTTTTTTTTTGGTTAATGAATGTGTTAAATGCCTACAAAAACGATTTCTCTGACTGAGGAGAAATCCACACTTGTACTGTAAATCACTACATGGCTTCTACTGCAAATCACTGTAATAGCCAAAGGATGCAAAATGGAATTTACTGAGCTTCTGGAAAGCTGAGAACACACTACATGTTTAGTCCAGGGTGATGTGAATGTTTGGGGGAGGAGGGGGAACCTCACAAGCTGTACCATGTTCTGATTGTATCTTTTGGGCATAATGTAACACGGTGTGATCCAGCAAATCACTGTTACCTCGTGGAAACTGGATTAACTGGACATAAAGTTACGTGAATAATGTGCTTCTGAGGAGTGTCCTTTATGGGAATGTGCTCTGGGATTGTGGGGTTGGAAGGACCATGTCCTACACTGTTATCTACTCTGATCTTCTCTCACTGGCAGAGTCTGTTTCATTTACCTGGAGATCAAGTTGAGCTTTTTAAAAGAAGTTACATATTTAAAGCTATCACTTAAATATTCCATTAAAGGGAAAGTATCCTTAACAATATGTCTGTACAAACATACCTATATATAACACAGCTACAACTGTTGCTTGCCTGAACTGCTGGTGTATTTAACTCTCTACAATGTATTTGCTTCTCCTCATTCAAGGGAAATATTGCAGCCTTGGTGCATCGGTTTTATAATACAGCATAAATATATAATAAACCAATAAAATGCAGTAAACTGAACTTTTCATTCAGAGCTATCCTGTGTGCTGAAATTCAAACCTGACAGGAGAAATGCAAGCCATGATCCAGCCTAAATTGCTACGCTGTGAACTTGTACCTAAACCTGAAGCTTTTCAACTGAAATCAATATCATAGCTCAGTGTGAGGAAAAAAAAATTCAACCAGCCAGTAAAAACTTCCTAAAAAATAGCAAGCACCAACCTTGTGACCCAGGACTGGCCTTCTCCAGGCAAATTCCTGATGGAATGAGGAATGATGCCCTGAGGAAGAGGTGGTTATCCATCGTGGGGTGACCCTGAATTTGAAAAATATATAAATAAAAATTACTGCTGTGTAAACCTCTTACAAAGAGGTTTTACAAAAATTAGAGTGGGGCACCTGAGTTTTTTTACCACCTATCCCAGAGGAAGCCCCCGATTTCCAGAGCTGTGCCAAAAGGATTTGGTAATTCACTCTGAGCAGAGGAAAGCAGGATGAGGGCAGTGGTTTTCCAACCAAGAGCACTCAGAGGGCATTGCTGCATATTTGACTACTGCCCACTGAGCACAGAGTTAAATTAATGCATTTTGCTAAACAAATTCTTGCCCAATATTTTCATCTCCGAGTTCTATTTAAAGTGATGAGGCTGGATCCCCCCTGCCCCTCTTCCCTCTCCCGCAGTCACTCAGAGATTTCTTTCTCCCCCATAAACAGCCAAAAATGGTCCCTGAGCTGCTGCTGTGCCTGGGTTTGGGTTGTGCAGGAGCCCTCAGCCCCACGTGCCTGTCGGCTCAGTTCAGGAGGCCTGGGGATTATATCCTGGGAGGGCTCTTCCCGTTTGGGAAGGACACCCTGAACCTGTCGATGCGCGTGGAGCCCACCCCGGTGGTGTGTGAGAGGTAAGAGGTGTTGTGTGAGAGGTAAGAGCCATGCTGGCTTCACCAGGGCTGGGGGGAGAAAGGAAAAAGTCAAGTCATCCC